CCACATTTACAGGCAAACACACACACACACACACACACACACACACACACACACACACAACCTCAAACTCTCATCCAAACAACCACAGACCCTCTCTTCTTTCTTCCTTTCTCTCTCACCGTCCACCCACTGAACTTAAAGTGCTCTGTAGCGGTAATGGCCAACCTGTGTTTCACCATGTCCCATGACGTGGAACAAGTCTTAATGGGGAGAAACACTGCTCCATTCAGGTTTAACAGTATAATAGTTATTTCAGGTGGAAGGTATGTGTGATTGGAGTGAGTGAAACTAGTGTTACTGTTAGGGGTGTCCCTAAAAAAATATTCTGATATTTCAGTGTATTCCTGCGATAATGGCATTGACAATATGAAAACAAATAAAATACTTTGTTACTTTTGCTCTCAGCCATGCTTGTTGTTGCTGTGTGTAACAGTATAATGTCCAGAGCTGGTCCTGACCTGCGTGGGGCCCTAAGCATAATTTGAGCGCAAGTTACATTTAGTGTACACGTGTATGAATGCATGTTCAGTTATCTTATCCAGCTGCAGTTTATAAACACTGTTTCCCTTTGGCGTTATCAAATGTAATAAATTGTTTTATTTCATTCTCACTTTGGTCAGGCACAAAGTCACAGAACACAGCCCTGGAAGTGGCTGGCAGGCAAGCAAGACACAGACATAAAGTTTTTCACTTAACCTGACTGCAGTTAGAAAACAGGGTGACTCATGCAGAGGTGTGTCTAGAAGGTAGTATGGGGTGGTCTTTTTCATTCCTTAAAACTGTTTAAACACTCAAAGTGCCCTCCTGAAATCCTCAGTTATGATGGGCAAATAGCCATTTTAGGTGGTTAAATATCAGTTTGGCACTAACAGCAATCTGCCAACACCTCTGAAATTCACTAATTAACATGTCCTATTTTGTTGGTTTACTTTATATAAAAATTCAAGTTAAACATCAAGTTGTGCTTTTACAGGGAGTTACGTATGTGCTGGACTATTTCCTGGCTGGGAGCAGTGACTATTTATGCTAAGCTAAGTTAACTGACTGCTGGCCAAAGCTTTATAATTAACAGACAGACAGAAAAGGTTTGAATTTTTACATCAAACCCTCAGCTAGAAATTGAATATGTTTTTTTTTAAGAAAAATGTAGAACAAGGTGGTGAGGTGTTTCTGGCGTCTTTTGACTTTGGACTCCTCTCCAAGGATGACTACAGAGGCTTTAACTTCACAGCTGTGAGAATTTTCTGCATTTCTTTGTCTTATGTGATAATAATCTCAATATCTTTGTGTTTTGGACATTTTACAAACCAAGTGATTAATTGGTTAATAAAAAAAGGACCACAGATGAATGCTAGCATTTTTAGTTTATTTACATTAGTAAACCACAGAAAGCGACAAAAACAAAAAAACACTGTCACATTTAAAAAACAATGTTAACAGTGAAAAGCCTCAGAGTTCAGGCCAAGGTAACTTCAGGTTTGGTGTATACTTTGTATAGTATTATATTGTATTGTACTGTACTGTATAGTGTTATGCAATGATTTTTTGGCAACTAAATCTTACCAATGTAGGACTTCCGAGATCATGAATATGTATGTATGTATGTGTGTATATATGTATCATGAGTACAAGAGACCAACAGTGTTTAAGATTTGAGCTTCAAATTCAACCACAGCTCACAGTGCAGCATGTTTTATATTATAAATATACAAGATTTGTACCTGTCAGAGTGTATATTTTGACATCCCATGAAGATTACCACTAACTATTCCATAAAAACACACGCATCCTCTTGTCATATTGTCAATACATCATACATCTTTTTCAATACACAGTATGTATCTTATCGCACATCACAGACCTATCCTTTTCACCCTGAGGCGCAGACAAGGAGATGTAGCTGCAATCATGCACACAATCCTTTTATTGATACGACAAGTATTACTGCATGACGGGATGTTTACATCTGCTCAAACAGCCAATCATTTACCCCTTGCAGCGATGAAGTCCCCTCAAAGGGGGGCAGAAGCCAAGATCCGGTGACCGGAGGGGGACTTTACCCTGTCAGCATCCGATCTTCCCTGCAAAGATTCATGGAAGAAAGGAAAGGTTCACATCTCTTTCCTCCCCTCTATCTTCCATCTAACCCTCTCCCAGACCAGAAAGGTGGATCAGGAGTTCTCATCCTAGCTGAGTCTATACATGTGTGTTATGTCTGCTACTCCCTGTGTGTGCTTGTATGTTTGTGTGTGTGCGTAAGTGCTGGAAAAGCTGACACCGTGAATCCAGGCAGCTGTCTCAGAGGATTTATATCACATTGTGTTAGCCAGTGTTTGGGTGATGGGAGGAAGCTGTTCATGGGGCTGAAAATGCTGGATTGGGCACGAAAGATATTTTTTTCTTTGTGTGTGTGTGTGNNTTGTCAGTAACTATATCTCTCTCAGTCTACTGTGCAGCCCTACTGCACAAGTGCCTGTCTGTGACCTTAAAGTACCCCGCACAGCTAAAGTACCTCTGGATTAGTTGTTATGGTAGCCACTTAATGTGCTTTCTCTCTCTCTCTCT